CTGCTAGCCTGACTGCTTTAATTGAAATTAAAAGGTGCTGCCCTAGAGAAGAAAACGCTGGTTTGCTTCTTTCTTGCATTTTCCACTCTGATTCTTTTTTCTAAAATAGCTCCTTTTCTATAGTCTCAAATTGTTACTAAGAAGTGTTGCTGACATGTCCTTTGGTCCAAGCCAGCAGTGCAGTCGTTCTTACTTGAAATTACCTTTTCCCGCAACTTCATATCTCAATATTTGGTTAAAAAGTCTGTGGGTTTAATTGTTTCTCTTCTTACTGTTTTTTTAATATGCAGATTAAATCAAAGTAACACTGTGCAAACACTCCAGATGAATGGCTAGCACATTTTCATTGTTAAAAGGTCATACAATGACACTCAAGGTATTTCCAGGCTTACACAACACAATAACGATTTAAAAAATAAATTAATGTACACCTTTGATTTCTAGATATTAAGCCTTTTGGATATTTTTCTGCATACCAGGTCATTTGGCTACTGTCCATTTCAGAAAGCATTACAGAAAGCAAGTTCATATTTCAAAAAATCTGTTTCCCTGACTTTTCTCAAGCAAATTTCTCAATGGCCATTATAGCTCATATCATACTTCACCTCTTAAATAATATATATGTAGCATTCATGATTTAATTGCCACAGTAAACAGAATGGATTATATTAGGTGTGTTAGAGGATCACTACTGGGATTACAGTGTAAAGAATGCATGGGATTACACAATACAGCAGGTAAACTTCATCTGAGCATTTATTCAGGCAACAGTGCTTTCCAGAAACCAGTATTAAAGTGACTGTTGCCTACACAAGAGCAAAAAAGCACATTTCTCCTGAGTGTAGTAAGCAGCTCTGACAAGGCCCTGACTACGCTAAACTTCCGATCTTCAAAAAGCAAATGAGCGTAAATATATCATTTACTGTTCAGTAAATGTAAAAAGTAAATCTACATTTACTTGTGCAGTAGCACAAGAGTAAGTCTTCACTTTCTTCATCTTTCATCTGTTTCAATTGTCATGGAAAACTTGTAGCCAGCAATATTTCCACCCAGGCATCTGAAATCAAATGAAGCCAGTTTTGAATGCAAGTGTGAATTAAATTTATGGGACTAGAAGCTGGCAGAGTTGGAAGACACTTTAACAGGTAGGCATTTTCTTACTTATCAGCACTTCAAACTCTGCTTGGGGTATTAAAGTAGAGTTGGGTTCTTTCCATCTTCTGCATCAGCAGTAAAAAGGATTCTGCAAGACAAATTAGATATCTAAGAACAATTGCACAACATCACTATCCTCTGCAGGTGTGGTGCAGGTACAACTGATCAGGACTTAACAGACAATTCTGATGATGATGTACATAAAGGAATATAATCTTGTTTGTTCCTTCAGCTGCATTGGCTTCTGCCAGTGATGAGAGATGAAAGACTAAAATCTGGGTTTTTAATCACTCAGAGAAAAGATATGACCTCAAGACACATTAGAATGAAATCTATTCATGTCATTAAAAATCTACATTTAACATAATTTTGCAGATTGCATTACTATTAAAAATTCAGTGGAAGGCAAATCTGCATTTATCATGATGTGGTACAGGAAACAGAAGTGTCTTCTGTTAAAAGCAGGCTAGACTAAACACTTCATCTGTTATAGGAAACAATTGCACTCACCCAGAGTAATGAGCTGGCTCTCTTAAGAAGTCTTTCCCTGGAGCTTCTAATTTAGTAGGCCAATTTCAACATAAAAATAAAAATCAGAGAAACAGAGGCATCACTGAAGCCTAGAAGAATAAGTAAGGCATTTACTTGCCCAAGACACCCAAGTTCCAATTGTAGCTGTTCCTGTGATAATTAATCTTACATCTCCAATTTGACTTTCACAGTTTACATATGAGAGCAGTATTATTTATCTACCTAATACCTAGCAGTGCTGCAGAGATGAATAAGACAATGCTTGCATGTACTTGAGTGCTAGGCATTGTAAGATCTGTCAAACTAACATCCCTAAAAGATAATGGTAGTAAGATTAAAAATGTAAAAAATAATGTAAATGAAAATGGTAAGAAAAAAAATGCCCTATATGTAAAAAAGTTTTTTCTTTCAGTAAAAAAATTCATACGACTCATTCATACTCTGCTATCCAATTTAAAAGCTATACATTTACACAGTGAGTTTAGTTCAGATACATTGCCTAGTTTCCAATCCCAATTTACAAGTTACTTGGCAGAGCTGCCGAGGGGTCAAGCGATTTGGACAAAGGTACATAAAAAGTCAGCTGCTCAGCCAAGAGTTAGGATCAATATCTTGACACCACACACACCATTTCTGACCTCCCTGTATCGACCTCACAGTGCTGTAGTACTCAGAAACAGGGAGCAGAAGAAGCAGGCTGTGTAGAGAGAGAATCTACTTTTTTCCCCCGCTTCTTCTGGCATGGACAAATAATGTCCAGCTTCAGTTGTACCACCAACATACTATATGGCATTTCTTTAGCACAAGAAAAAGCTAACTTTTTAAAGCATGGCTTTTCATGCCACTCGATCCTTCAGATTTAGTCCCTCACAAAAAAGGGCCCAAACACCACCTTCTGCAAAAGCAGTCCTATATCATGTTACTCGCTATAATCTTGAAGATTATCTAGATTTTTATAAAATTAAATTTAATTTCATAGTTTTCTACAATTATAGGATTAGAAACTCACTCTTAATCTACTGAATTGGAGAGAATTTCAATGCTGCTCAGATGGAAAAGCTCATCTGATCCTAAACATCACTAGGTTGGCCAAAGTACACAAAAATGCCATGTAACTTCTAATGGTATTTCAAAAGCACATTTCTCAGCAACTATCAAATCAAGACCTCCTCATGTTAACCTACTAAGAAAATGACACTTCATTTGTTCAAACTGTAAGTTGTAACAAAATGAGTGGTCCAGCTTGCTTCATCCAAATGTCATTAACAAATTTATTTGCAAATATTTAAAAAAAAAATCAAGCCTTTTGTACCAATGGTGAAGGTAATTTTCATCCTACAGAACACTTGCAAGTATTTTTTGTCCTACTCATTTGCAAATGAAGAATGTAGAGCAACCAAAAGCAAGCTCCAAGCACCTGCAATTCATATATTGAGAAGTAAACTGATCTTTGGCAGCTTATCATCAAAAGAACTTGACCTCAAGGAGACAATCCCACTGAAACTTAGCAATGACAATGAGCACAGGCAGTCAAATATAACTAACAGTGCATTTATGGCAAAAACAAGTCATGCTTTAATAAAATGGCTTATCCAACCTTCAGAGTACACAGCATTTATTATTTTGTTTACAATTTATTACTATTTTCAGCCAAGTTCATCAAGTGAAATTTACAGAGTAAGTGAATAATGAAAATAATTGGCAGCAGAGAAGGGTAAAAGGGAATAACGTGAAATGTAACGTTATCACAAGCAACTAGTATAAAATTTAGAAATTGTTCTGATGTAAAAGTCTGGGAATACTTAGAAACACTACATTGTGAAATGTGAAGTTCCAATTCCTCTACATGCAAAGAAGCAACTTTTCTCTAACTTCCTTGACTTCTATGCAGTTAGTCTCAGTCAAACAATGCAAGAGCCTAATTTATCTTCTACATATTATTGTTGATACAATATTTGTGCTCTCTTGACTGCCATATTTGCTTAGATTTAACTTAATAATTAATTTTTTATACAGATGTCTGTCTTACTGCTGCTTGCTTTAATTCAACTATTTTTATCCAGTGAATGCTCTTCAAAGACTTAAAAGTCTAGGAACCTTGTAAACACTTGTGTAATCTGTACCCTGCGAGGGCTGGCAGCAGTAATTCGTCAGTTTTATTTGCAGCAGGCTGTAACTAAACCTTCCCAGACATAAATCATCATTTTGTACTACTGCTTGCTGTTTCAGTTGCAAATGAATCTTGTTTCTTAGCTTAACACTCACATCAAGAAAGCAAGGAGGTTCCATAAAAATTTAGAAAACCCCTAGAGTCACTAACTGCAAGGGTTGTTATGCTGTTTAGCAACTGTTTACAGTGATACTGACCAAATAGAGTGAATAGTCTTTGTAGGAAAGTTTGGAGTGCAACCAGAATGTGTGATTGCAACAGAAAAGCATACCAAAGCCTCAATCTTGTCAACTTAAGCACCACCTGCAGTGACAATGGTGAAACATGGGTGACAACACAGCCTAAGTACATTTAAGACTAGGAGTGCTAAATGGGAGAGTACTCTTTGGTAAAGCCTATTCCCAATAGACCTCCTTGGTGGTTTTGTTTGTTTTTTTAAATGAGACCATAAGAAATGCACTGCTGGGACAGAAGTTTATTGTGTCAAGTGGCAATAGAAAATACTCTCTTAGGAAAAGCATGCACACCCACCTACTTTCTGTGGTCAGTCCCATAAAACAAATAATGGTTGCTGTCCAAACCCAGGTGGCTAAAAGGTATCGAGGATCCCAAATCCATGTCCTATTCTAACACTTCACTATCCATCAGATAAGGGGCACAAAAATCTATTTCTTCCATGTCAGCATCTTCCTGAGACTCAGGCTAGTATATTCCAAAGGAGTCCATGCATGTATTTCTATAATAGTGGTAGAGATTTTCACTATTATTTTCTATCACATCATTGACATTATATGTGCTAACATTGCTTCTTTTTGACTACTTTATTGGCTCATTTTTGACTACTTAATCTTGGCACAAAACTGTATTGTGCAAAAGACTGCAATGAAGTAACAAGCACCTTTATAAAGAACACTAAAACCATATAGTATTGATATAGACGGAGCTATCAAACAACCATTCCTCATACAGCACTGACAACATTTTGAGTATACATAAAGCCAATAAAGGAAGAATTGTAAACCATCTTTTCTAAGCTGTTAGTGCAGTTGATTATTTTGCCTATAACCCAGCTGCTGCTACTGCAGAACCAAAGATTCCTTTAGCCTTGACTGGCCCCATTTCTGAGTGCTCTGGATTCCCTTACCTTGAGTGAGCTAGAGCTTTACTAAGAGTCTTCTTTCTTGTTTCTGTAAATGGAGAGAGCCTCTTCACTGCTTCTGGTGGATCAGACTGAAAGTGATCAAATTGAAAATATATATTACAGTATTAATTAAGAGTTTAGAATAGAGAAGGTAAGTGCAATATCAGGGTCCAGTTTTAATCACCAAATATTTTCTAAGACTGTCATCATCTGGGACAGCATTGTGTCATTCCACAAGCATGTAAACAAGTCTTATATGATACTGCTGTGCACGCCCATGTGCACATCTGTTCCAAGCTTTTAACTCATTGGCTGACTTCAAGTTTGACAGAGATCTTACAGGCAGTTAAGGACCCATAAGCTTCATTAAACTACAAGACAGGAAGAAGAGATTGTTCAATGGCCTAGACTTAAGGAATGACTGCTGTGGGTGTTTATACATTAACAAACTATAAAAGTATGCATGGGAGAGAAAACTTTTAGAAGTCCCAACCCAGAAAAATTTTCAATCAGTCTCAAAACAAGGAGACTGACATTTGCAAAAACCAAAACAATAAGAAAAGCTCCACAGACATAGCTGGTTTTGGAGCACAAAACATAATGGTTTATTATTCTCTTTCTCTCTTATTTTTTAAGAGTGTACAAACCAGGTCAGCAATTTTACATAAGGGAATTAAAATCACTAATTTAATACATTGTTCAAAATGCCTGCAACATTTTTTCTTCTGAGCAGCTATGGAACTGAAATACATGGGAGATGAAAGCTTGTATTTGTTGTTGACTAGCTGTGGCTTACAAGTACCCTTGGGATTTCCAGAGAACAGCTGCATCAATTTCATAGAATTATGATTGCATACTGTGCATATGCAGTGTTTTTGCATGTGTTAGGTAATAAAATATGCAGCTCAGGCAACGCCCAATGTGCAAAAAGTGCATGGCTAAATTTCTATTTGTTGAGAGGCATAGTGCTGGCATGCAGAAGCTGAGGTGCAGCCTAGGGTATTCCTTGAGGCAGTTCCATGCATTCATAAGTGTCCTAGGGTGTCCAGAAAAATAAATTCACAGTAAAGGAAATAAAGAAGATCCTTTATTATGCACCTGGGAAAACATGCAATAGGATATTGCAGATCTCAGTTGAGTCTGTAAAGAAAATGCTTGCCTACTCAAGAGAAGCTGCAACTCTTATTTCAAATCTTTATGCACACCCGAGTATATCGTTCTTGATTGCTGAAATAATTGGTGCTCTGTATGGACAACAGCTTCTATGATACGACTGAGCTACATACTTCACATATTTTTTAAGAGAACATTCTAGAAAGTGCAAACAAAAGACTTCTTATTAATGAGATTTATAGATAAAAATAACTGCAAAGGAGAGCTGAAAAGAAAAAAAAACCCTATAAATTAATGTGCTGGTAGAATGTTTCTGGTATTCAAGGCAGTGTGCTTCTGCCAGTAAAATAGCTGGGCACAACTCCGCCTTTTAGCAGGACTTCCACAGCACATCTTACTTTTCAACTTTGTTAGCTTCCAACAAATCTGAAATACCCCACTGACTGATGAGTTGGATAAAAAAAGGAAATTAAAAATTGTGTTGTGATAGGTGAGATGTTACCCGATGCTGACGTCAGGCTAACACTTGTGCTTGCTTTCTTAAAAAAAAAAATCATTACTGTTTGTTGTCAGTTTTCATATAATTGCAAACGTACACTCCTTTCTCTGTTTACATTTCATTCTTCTCTTTTATAAGAAACTTATGATCAAATCAGTTGCCTGGCATTCAGGTTTTTTTTTATAAAGAGAAAGGAGATGGATCAGATTTTAAATAAGCTAACAAAGACAACATATGACAAAAAATTAAATCTCTCTGCTGGATTGTCAAATAAAATTCAGGCAAATTGTTAAATGCATATAGAGAAATTAGAATTAACACATTAAAATGTGTTTTAATTCCAACATTTTATTTATATTTAAAAGGCCTGAATTGCTTTGGGATAGACAGACAGAGTACACTGCAACTCTGCATTGTCATATGACAGGCCTGAGTAAACATCAAATAGAACATTCACTTGGGTGGACTTGGATGAATTAGAGCAGACTCACCACAGTAACTGTTCTGTGCTGACCAGAAAGTGGCATTTAAGTAAAATTATCTCCAGGCCTTTCAATACTTAAAATTGTAGGTTAAGGTCACAAAGGCTGAAAAAAAACAAATAAAGCCCAGATCTTCAACAACTGTTAATTTGTGCAGCTCTACATAACACCTAAAGGAACAGTCCTTTCAGCTTCAGGTTTTTGAGATCTAAGGATGTGCAATATTGACCTATGTACTTTAATAAAAATATGAATTTTTGAAATAAAAAGTAATTTTGAATGTATTGGCCATTTCTGTGCTAAACCGTAATATAATTTAAAGGTCAGTCTTCTAGAATTGATGCATGGAATAACTAACACAGCTAAGCTGAATTTTCAGAACACTATTTTTACCAAATTACAATAGAACTCTACATCTCACTCATCAGCAATTTTTTCTAATACCTTCAGGAGGAGTTTTACTAGATAAAACCTATGAAATGTTCATCAGTCAGCAAAAGGCTGGTTCCTCATGTACAGTACGGCTTTAAACCTTGATTTCAGCAAACAAATATCTATATGAATAATTAAAACATTATGTTTGTCTGTTGCCGCTTTTACCTACATCTTGAATCAAGGCTTCACCAGTAGTCTCACCTCTGGAATGAAAGAATGCTTCTTGGTAATAACCTCAGCCACTTCTTTGGGTGGTTTCTCCTGCACATCTTTTTTCAGCGGTTCCTAAAAAATGAACCAAAACATGTAAATATATTTGAAATACTGCTAGTTACCCACACTGTAGCAGGTCATAATTTTCAAAATTGAGTGGTGCAAATAATTTTTTCTACAGAGTGCAAACTATAGCAAAAATAATGGCTAGTCTATTGTAGAAAAACTTAAACTATCACTGAAGTAACTTTAGTGCACAAAGATTCTCATAAGAAGTACCTGCTGACAAGCTACTGTGCAAAATGCATACAGGCTTTCTAAATTACCATGCTTAAATGCTTAGAATATGTAACTTTTCTCTTAGAAGACTGTTATATAGACTACTGTGTCTAACAAAAAGAAAATCCAATTTACAAAACCAGGAATCGGAAATTACTTACCTGTAATTGCTCTTCCCTGAAGAGCACACAGTCTATCACACTGTGATAGACCACTATTCCTGGGTCTGTGCTTTCACCCACAAGGAAGGCACAGACCCATAAAAAGCCCTAAAGTCAAACACAAGCACACTTCGAGAACTCCTTCAACCACCAGTTTATTCAAGTGGAAGGAAGACATATTCCCTCTTACTAAAAAAATTGTATAGGTAGATTAATAGAATACTCTAGATCACCCAGCAGTATATGGTGCTCAGGCTAAAAGGATATGAAAACAGTAATTCCTTTCTGCACTAGTTTTAGATCAAAGACCTCATTTATTGATTCCAAGTAAAGCCAAGCTGGAGGCCCTAACAACTCGCATCCACATAGTCAGGGTAGAGCCAACGTACAAAAAAAGCTGCACAGCAGACTCAGAGCTGCAGATGAAATACTTGCTATGTTGTACAGATTTTGCGCAACAGAGCAAAGCCTGGAAATATTCAAGTATTCAAAAATGAACTTTAAGAGCAGAGCATTGTGCTTGTTGGAATCTTGACTTCAGAAGGCACAAAATTCTTTCCAAATTTATGTTACTATGTAACATTTCAGCTGAACAAAGGTTCAAAGTGTAAAGAACAGTACCTTCACTCACTGGTGAACTGCAAACACCAATGTTCTAATACAATGACTGAGGCAGCTCACAAACAAGTAGAAAACTAGGGAGGGGAACCAAACCCAAGACGTGGTACTAAGAGCAAAGCAGCTGGAATAGAAAGACGATTTTCTGCAGCCAGAGTATAAGGATGAACTAATGAAATGTCAAGGAGAAGTCTGAAGGCTCTGCTATTTTGTGCGACTGGAGTCAGCAGCAGAGACCGATGGCAAACTGACACTGCTCAGAAGCACAAGTCTTACAGAGGGCTACCAACGAACATGAGCACCCACCTCAGTGACTGAGAAAGCCTCATTCACACCCTGAACAAGAGAGGAATCATTTTACAGCCTGTGTGGGCACCCATACTTTGCCTACAGGAAATGCTAATCAGAGATTACTGGCGATGAGTATGCCTTCAGTGTGGAGAGTCTGTTACAACCAACTTTAGGGAAAAATAAAAATTAAGTATTTGTCATTACATAAATTTAATCATCACTATTTGGTACATTTTTTCCAGAGATCAAAGTTATTTATTTTAACCATTTGTAGTAAGAACCTGATTCTGAATATTGAATATCTTTACCTGTGAAAACAGGCTTTCAAAAGTAAACTGGATTTGAGAAAGCACTTGCCAAACAAAATCCTTTTAAAAAAAAAATAAAATAATTTCCAATATAAGAAGTTTGAAATATTTGTGACTACACTCCTGTATATTCATGAACACAAATGATCTATCCAGAACATAAATAACGCTAAAGAACAAATAATTATTTATTTCCTCAGATTTACCCTTCTAAATTTCAAAGTACTCTTAAAGGCAGAAAGGTGCCAGATGGATGGAACAGAAGACTTCATAGGTGAAACACCTTCAGAGAAGCTGGTTCAGAAGCAATTTGGTTTTAAAATTGGAAAAGTTTTCATATTTGGGGCAATATTTAACTTTTATCAGGGCACACTTTTTTGAGAGTACAATGAAAAACCCAAGAAATTCTAAATATTTGGACATCCTTCATTCTTCTTTCTCCTTTTCTGTTACTATTTCCGTATGGCTATCCTCTCTGCATTGCATGTCTATTTGTAACCTGTAATGCTAATCACCACAGCATCATCCCATAGCACAATAAGGAACCAATCCAAAAACCACGAACTCATGTCATGATCTCCGCTACAGGAATAACATGCATCAAACTGATGCTGGTGGGACTTTTTTTTCTTTAAAATTGCACACATTATAAAGAAAAAGCTAGAAGAAAACTGATTTGGAGCAGAAGCATCTTACACTCCAGGAACACCAGAATTTCCAGCCTGCTTTGCTCCTGACACTTTTTTTTTTTTTAAAGCAGCAAAGTGTTGACAACAGCCAGGTACCACTGCTTTTACAGCTGGCAATACCTTGAATGACATGATTAAAACCAATTGAGAGTCTCTCAGAATAACTTACTACTCAAGGGAAGGAAGCATGGTAGAACATAGCCCTAAGGTTTCAATGGCTTGAAAGGACCAGTATGCTGACCACTAGTATAGGGTCTGGAGCCATTTAGCTATATTCATTTCAAGCATCTAATGCCACAGAGGACTGAAGAAAACTTTTCTCAGGTGCAACACTTCCCTGCATCCTATCTCTGGCCAGAAAGCTCTGCCAGTTCATGAGGAAAGGAAAAAGAGCTGTGAATCTACCAAAGCACTGCACGGTTGCTCAGGGAGGGTGGTATATGCCACCCCTTCCACTCAGGCACTGGCAATGTGATTCAATCAGCCTTACTACAGAAAACAGAAGGGAATAGCTTCCTTTTCTACAACATGATCTTTCATTACAATGTCATATATTGAAAAGGTGCAATCTGAGCTTAAAACAGTAACAGTACATAATTATAGAACAGTAGAACTATCTTTTTAATTTGCAGTGCAGATATAAAAACAGAAAACAGTACTGGCATGTCTAATTTGTTAAACTCAGCAATATATTATCATGACAATCTGAACAACCTTTGGAGTTTGGGTGTTGGGTATTTTTCAGCATTTCCAATTTATGGATAGTTTCATCATAGTTTACCTAATTTGCTTTTAAGCCATCAAAAGGCCTGTTTCAGTGATCGTTTCCTGCATTCATTATAGTGAAGTAACAAAATCTCATACAACTCCATATGTAAGAAACAATAATTAAAAAAAAAAAATCCCCAAGTGATAAAGTAATATATGAAACACCATCTATGCCGAGATTGCGTGAGGAATGACCAGAAGTTTTCCATGAAAGTGATTACAGCCATTTCTCCCGAGATCAGATCCAGCAGGTCTAGGTGAAGTGAACTACAGAAATACTGCAGTAGGTGGAGCTCGATGCCATCTGATTGTCTATAGCTCTGCTGGAGATGACCCCCTTCAGTGCGCTCTTAGGCGCT